TGCAGATTCGCATCCTCTCGGCAATTCCTATGGTGCTGGAAGGAAGAACAAAGGAGAAAATGCCATAATTCTTCAAAAAAAACTAAAAAACAAAAAATAAAAAATGGTCTGCAGATTCGCATCCTCTCGGCAATTCCTATGGTGCTGGAAGGAAGAACAAAGGAGAGAGGAGTCCTTCGGGACATCCATTAAAATTGGAACGATACACAGAGAGAGAAGATTCACATGGCCCCTGCGCAAGGCTCATGACACGCATTAACCGCGGATTCAAAAGAGAGAGAGAGAGAGAGAGAGAGAGAGAGAGAGAGAGAGCAAGGCTCATGACACGCATTAATCGCGGATTTAACAGAAAAGAGTGAGAGAGAGAGAGGAGGAGGAGGAGGAGGAGAATATGGAGGACAGGACGTGTGTGTGTGTGTGTGCGTGTGTGTGTGTGTGTGTGTGTGTGTGTGAGAGAGAGAGAGAGAGGAGGAGGAGGAGACTATGGAGGACAGGACGGTCACGGACGCCATGATCGTGCGCACCTCTCTCTCCTCAGCGCGGCGCTCTCCTAACATCTGCCGCCTCCCCTCCGCCCCTCTCCTAACCTCGGCCGCTCTCTTTCAGTGCTCTCGTCGGCCTCTCCTTAGCCTCCAGCCCGTCGAACTACACTGTCATCGCTAGTTGTACATTTTGTTCATCATCCGGGTTCGAACTCCGATCTGTATTTCAACACCTCATGGGTACGCCAACTGAGATCATGGGCCCATCTGTGGTGGTCCATCGTCAAGGCAGGCTGGCGAAATGCACTGACGTCGCCAGTTATATATCTTCTGGCCAGGCCGGCGGACTTTGCCTAGTGTCCTTCGATACAGAGAAGATTAGCCTGGCATAAATCGAGAAACAGAAGATAGGAGTAGTGGTAGGTAGATAGTGAAGGTGAATTGAAAGAATTTGAAAGATGATGAAAAGATTTGAGAGAAGAATATAGCGTAGTTCAAAAAAAAAAAAAAAAAAAAAAATAATTTTCAAAAAAAGGAAACAGAGTATATTGAGAGAAGAATATAGAAAAAAAAGGAGAAAAAATGGTCTTTGCCCGGTGTGAAAAGGCGGGGCGCGGTCCGTCCAGTCTGTGCACGGCGGTGACGGCGCCACGCCCAAAAAATCACAACTGGCTGGGCCCCTGGGGGCCCGCCCGTTTTGGTTCGCTTGTTTCGTGTGGCAGATGTGGAGCTACGTCAAGCTCTACGCTCCGATCTGGTCATCGTATATGAGTCGGCATACAGACTGCAGTCAACTTGGATGATCGTCACACTGCTGCATGCAGTGGGGATGGGTTCATTTTCCTTGTTCTTTTTTGAAAGGGGGACGGCCTTGAGATATCATCATTGATACTCAGCGGCGGAGCTCAGTTGGTAAGGCACCCAAATGGCATTCAGGAGGTCTTGGGTTCAATCCCCAATGGCCTATAATGTATCTTCCTGGGCGACCTTGGTGCCCGGCACCTGGAGATAGGTAGTTGGTCCACCCGAGCGGATCGCCCGGCATTGAGCAGAGTCTGCTGATGTTTTTAGGGGGAGGGGACCGGAGGGGAGGCACAGCGACCAGTCCATAATAGCTCAGAGGTTAGAGCACCGGTTCGAAATGCGCGTTGGGGGTCCAAAACTTTCCAACCTTGCACATGGACACCGGCAGGGCATTAGAGTGACACACGGCTGGACACACTCCCTTGGGATGATTGAGGTAAGCTATTACAGACACTACCCTCTGCTGATGTTCGTAGGGGGAGGGTACCGGAGGGGAGGCACAGCGACTGGCCCATAGCTCAGTGGTTAGAGCACCGGTTCGAAATGCGCATTGGGGGGCCAAAACTTTCCAACCTTGCACATGGACGCTGGCAGGGCGTTAGAGTGACGCACGGCTGGACACACTCCCTTGGGGGATGATGGCTCATGGTTGTTGTATGCTGGGACTGGGGCGATGGTGGGGTGTCCGATGTTCTTGGTCTATGGGGTGATCACGAGACTGCTGGGTGATTTGTACAGTCTGCTGTACAGCAGAGCATAGCTCCCGACTATTTCACAGGTTAGGTCATTTGCATGATTCACATGAGGTCCTGTGTTCGATACCAGATCACGACTTAGGGCTGGTCATCCTCCTACCGTCTTCCCCCAAACATAACACATATGCGTTGTAAACAAATACAACATATACTGTGCATTATATTCGTTTACAACACGTGTTATGTTCGACTGAACGAGACCAACTTTACCTGCACAAGGGGGTGGGTCCAGGCTGAGTAGGCTCAATTCTGGACCACGGCTGGGGGGCTCAGAGCCTTGGCAAAAAGGTAAAAGTAAAGTAGCAACATACCTTTCCATGTTCTGGGTTGAGTTTCATTCCTTTCCCCTACTTGGGCCCTTGCTCCACTCCTCAGCAAGTGTGCAAAATGAGAATGAATCTTCCGCTAGAACGTGGACAAATACAACCCCTTTTTTTTGTCTCGATGACCACGGTAGTGCAGAGAGGCCTTGGTGAGTGGCTTTCTTATTTTTCCACTTTCTTGGCCACGCCACCTTCTTGGCTGCGCCACTTTCTTAGCCGCGCCACATTCTTGGTTGTCAGAAACACCTTCACGCACGGAGAGAGAGAGAGAGAGAGAGAGAGAGAGAGCATCTTGTCAGTGACAGGGAGGGCA